TAGGTAGGTAGGTAGATAGTTAGTTAAGTAGGTAGGTAGGTAAATAGGTAGGTAGGTAGATAGTTAGGTAGGTAGGTAGGTAGTTAAATAGGTAGGTAGGTAGGTAGTTGGATACGTAGTTAGTTAGTTAATTAGGTAGGTAGGTAGTTGGTTAGTTAGGTAGGTAGGTAGTTGGTAACTAAATATACGTATACCAAAAGTACCAGGGACCATTTCAGAATAACATAATATTTTATTTTTAATTATAAATATTGGTGCACTATTGTGCTGAACTAAGCCTTATGTACTGCTAGACAGCTTCATCTTTGTCAATACGTCATAATTTAGCCTATTTGTTGATTATATTTGGCATCTTTGGAGAAAGTCTTGCTCCTCTTCTACCACGCCATAGTTGAGGAGCGTCCTGCGTTTTGGCATCTCAGCCTGGTTTGGCAACCTCAGTGTACAGCAGAAAGCCCAGATCACCCGGCTAACACAAAGAGCCATGAAAATCATGGGAGTCAGACAGCATCCCACACTCCAGGCCGTCTTTAATGAAACTATCATCAGACAGGCCCAGAAGATTATTTCAGACCCCACCCATGTCCTCCACCCTGAATATCAGCTTCTTCCCTCAGGCAGACGCTTCAGAGTCCCCCAGTGCAGGCTCAACCGCTTTAAGAACTCCTTTGTCCCCTTGTCCATCAAAGCCCTAAATGGCAAGCTAGCCAGAGCTTAACCCCTGTAACACCGATTTAAATTTATTTTTATTATCTTAACTATACACTACTGGTGCATTGTACAACGGGCAATGTGAAATGTATTTGTTGGCTGGTGGCAGTCTTTTGCATGTACTGTAGGTAGGCTACTGTGTGTGCGGGTATGTGGACTGGCGACAGTCTGTGTATGTAATGTACACACACACACACACACACCCAAGCACAAACATTCACAGCAGGACATAGAACCATACGTAACAGTATGCAATATGTTATTTGTATTGTTTTAACAGCAGACACTGTATGTATGTTTCCAAGACAAATTTCCTTCGGGAGAATAAAGTCTATCTTATCTTATCTTATCTTATCAACAAATTGCAAAGTTGGCTAACGAGTAACTAAAAGTGTCGGTGTAGCCTACTGGAGTAAGAAGTAGATGTAGTGGAGCAGTAGATGAAGGATAAAGCACTGAATTTAAATACAATATCTTAAGTACACTATACTGAAGTAGGTCGGTGTAGGCTACAGAAAGCTCCTGTGTGTGGGCCCATATGGACCTACAGTGTTGTGATGTTTGAAGAGTTGGAATGCTGAAAAATGTCTGTGGTCTGAATTTTTGACTGTTTTGAGAAGACCCTAATGGTTAAAAACATCAGTGATGCATTGCACGCTCAGACATAATGATTTGGCTCTATAATTACATCTGAATATAGGACATTATTCTAACCTAAGATTTATATAATCAATAAAGTAACACCTCAGACTTTCTTGGAATTATAAAGTATGCAAGTGATAAAATAATGATATGATCTCTTTATACATGTATTTTATAAATAAATTATACCCATGGTATATGATATGTTAGGAAACACAATTTGCATTGATTTCTACTTACTGGCCACGTTTGTTTTAAAAACATACCGATCATTCTTATTGCCTATATGCTGAAATGCTTGAACCCTTCACTCCCCTGAATGCTGAGTCGGGAACATGCGCAGAGGAAACGAAATAGCAATGGTCCTTTAATTACCGCACAGGTCAAGCTAGCCCGAAAGAACAAGTCTGGTACAGGAAATGTATGCTTTGCTTCAGCATAAAAGCACAGTTTATCATCGGAGAATTTGTGGGTGTTCAGAAGGTGAAAACTCTAACAAGATAACAGCAGTTTGTATGCACATGGACTTTGGCAATATTTTAAGATAGGAATGCTGTACACAACGCATAGAGTGTGAGAGGTGGGCTGCACGGGTTCATCAACCATTCCTAATAGTATATTAAAAAAATAGCTCCAGCATTAAAATGCTGCTCATAAATTAAGGCATCAGTTACGATAAAACAATATTACAGGTTTAGAGAGAGCATGGGGCCATTCTGCATAAATGCTAGTCTGTTTTACTTTTGATACTTATTCAGATCGTATTTCTCAGTAAAAGTAGCAAGACCACAATGTAAAAACGCTCCATTAAATGCGAAAGTCCTGCATTGAAAATAGGAATTAAGTAAAAGTAGGCCTACATTGGTAGTATCATAAGTACTAAAAGTAAAATCAGTAAAAACTGAAGAATAGCCCCTGTGATTTGAACACTATATTATTTCTATACATGTCATGGTATTATAATATAAGTACCGATGTATGTGAAAGTATAATTTCTCAGTTGTAGTGGGTCAAGGCGTATATATGGGTAGCTTGATCTAAAATATATTTCATGAGATTATGATATGTTTTGTATGTAAACATGTCTTTTTAAATGCAACTACAACATGGAGATGTAATGGAGCAGAAGTAAAAAAATAAAATGGAAATACTAAAATAGGCCCACCACAATTCCTTAAATGACTACTTGTATTTTGCCACTGTCTACCTTTTCCTTATACTACCTTTACACAATATAAATAATTAATTGATTATATGACTTATTCTTCGACCCTTGGAAATAACACATTTAAAGAAAGACGAAGAGCTACCTAGTTTTATTTTGAAACGCATGACCGGAAAAGCCCGTATTTATCGTGTCGTTTCACGCCGCTTAATCACAGAGAGTTGTTGCAAAGGTAACTTCCTCCAACCCTGGCTTTTTGCCTTTGTGGGTTCGAGTGCGAGTCGTGAAGCCCCAGAGAGTGCCGGTGTATTTGAAAAGGGGCGCATACCGTTTAAAAAAAAAAAAAGTGTCTTTACGTCTCCTCTCTTCTGAATATCGCATATATATTTTTTTTTTGCACCGAGCAAAAACGACGGACGTTAACGCTGGCGTCATGTAGGCTCTGCTGCGCTTCAGACTTTAGGAAAACAAATCGGGTATTGTCGGTGAATCCTCGGGAGATGGCAGAGTAAGTTCGACCTGCGCCAGTTTACCGAGCTCTCATAAAGCACTTTGAAGAAAAAAAAAAAAAGAGACCCCACCAAGGTAAGTTTGATCATCGCGGAGGCCTGGCTAGAATCTAACTGTGCATAAAGCCTAACAGACATTTCCACAGACGTGGAGAAGTTTTGCTGATCCCTCTCAGCTTTTCCTCGTAAAAAAAAATCTTGGCCTGTTTTGCAATTGCAGCCACATACAGCAATATATGTACGCTCCTTGTGTTGTGTGAACAGATGCCCGCATGTTGTGGTTTAGCAGAGGGGGTAGCAGCCTTCTCCACGCAGCGAAGCCTATTTTCTTTCTACGCGTAAAAGAGATGTTTTTTGGTCAATGGTGATGATGCTAAACGTGTGACAATAAACGTCTCGAGTCTAGCATTGCGACCTGTAATATCTACGTCACGTGCAAGCTAGCAACTTTGCAACTAGTCGTGACTTTGTTAAGAGGTTGCTGTTTGTTTGTTTTTGTCATGCAAACCAGTCTTTTGGGAGGGTCGTTCACTGCTTGATCGTGTGTCTCATCATCCCGTGCTGAGCACTTTAACATCACAATCGCAGTCCTGGGGGGAGGTGGGAGAGCCCAAAACACACACACACACACACACACACACACACACACACACACACACACACTTACAATGCTCTGTGGTTTCATTTATAACTAGCTGGCAATGAAGTGACATTTAAGACAAATCTCCAATATAGTTCTTCCAGAGTATTTGTTTGACATGCCTCTCCCTCACCGAGGAACAATCAGACCCAAACAGGAAATGGTGTGTGATAAGATTGCATGGTGGCAATTAAATGTAAAGCCGGCAGACCTGCTGATGAGAGGGTGCCAACTTCATTACCAGAGGTGTTAAAGCTAGCTGCAAAACATTCAGGGGATAATTGTGCCGATTAAAAGATGTGTGAAAGGGGAACGTCTCACACTGAAGTGTTATTCCTCCCGAATCAACTCTCTGGCTCTCTAAGAAATCCCATTCCCACATACTAATCGCGTCTCTCTTCACTAGTGGCCCAAATGTCTGGGGAGCACTTGAATGTGCATTTGTTGTTGTTGTTGTTGTGCAGCCTAGCCTGGTGGAGATCGAACACAGCACGGCCGAAGCTCCCGTTAACTGTGTGATGCACTTCTGCTGACACACCTAAACCATTCAGTTGACCGCACTTTAATGTACATGCATGGCACCTCGTTTAATCTATACGGGTTAGCCACTCAAAGCAACATGCAATACATTTAATGTTGTCGGTGAAGTCTCCTCGGACCGGATTAGAGGAATCCCAGAGGAGATGATCTGTTATGGTTAGAAGGCGGTGGGGTTTGCGTG